GTGATGCCGAGAAAAGTTCCACACGCGGAGAAAAGCCCTTCCCGGACTGTGGTGACAGCCTCAGGGTTTTCACGTGGGCCGCGAAGATGCTCCGAGGGCTGGAGCACCTCTGCTATGGAGCCGGGCGGGGAGAGCTGGGGGTGTTCAGCCTGGAGAAGAGAAGGCCCCGGGGAGAGCTTAGAGCACCTTGCAGTGCCTAAGGGGATTTTATGAAAAGAGGGAGAGAGACGTTTTGCATAGGCAGATAGTGGTAGGACAAGGGGGAACAGTTTTAAAGAGATTTAGATTAGATAGGAGGAAGAAATTCTTTGTTGTGAGAGTGATGAGGCACTGGCACAGGTTGCTCAGAGAAGCTGTGGCTGCCCCATCCTTGGAAGTGTTCAAGGCCAGGTTGGATGGGGCTTGGAGCGACCTGGTCTAGTGGAAGGTGTCCCTGCCTATGGCAGAGGGCTTAGATCTAGGTGATCTTTAAGGTCCTTTCCATTCCAAACCATTCTAGGATTCAGAGGAGCCTCATGGAGCTTCCAGGAGAGAAGGGAGAAGTGTACTGTGTTTCTGCTAACCATGAGTCCTGCAAAGTGACCTGGAGCCATGTCTTACCCTAAACCTTCAATAATGAAGTTCCTGTGTATCAAAGGATGCTTTGGGCCAGGTCAGCCAGGAGACAGCTTGCACCAACACCAGACAGTGTGAAAATAAGAATGTGTGGATCTAGTGTGATAGGAAGATATTTGCTGGGGGAGATGAGGTATTGTGGAACTAGATAATGTCAGGGAAAAAATTTCCTTACAAACTGAAAAAATTGAGACAAGTCAGTGAGAAATATGAAGGTCCTTGTGCTGTTTTGATAACTTTTCCTGTATAAGCTCTTCTTATTCTTCACAATCAGAGAAATTTGGAGAGAACTCAGCTGGCATCTGAAGGAGAAATCTTTTGCCAAAGGATTTCCAAAGCCTCTGTTGAAGGCCTGTGTTGTGTAATAGAGCTTACTGGGTTAATGATGAGGAAGTAATACATCTCACTTCCTGTTACTCATGAAGGTACAGGAAGGTGTAGAAATTCATCTCTGTAGAAAGCCTGACCAAGAAGTGACGGAGGACTTCCTTTCACACCTGTGGTTCTTCCTGCTTAAGAGCACAGTCTGAAGACCAGGTTTGGGGAAAGACAAAAGCATCAGTGTGCTTTGTGATCCACTGATCAGAGGTTCCTAACAAATTAGGGAAAGCTTCCAGCTGTGCAAGCAAGCTGAGGCTTCACAAAAGCATTGGGATCACCTAGGCTGGTTCTGGCCCTGAGCTCAGGATCTGTCCCACTGGAAGGGAGTGTGGTGGTTGGGCTTTGTCAGAGCAGGAATAGACTCCATCAGGAGTGGGAGGAGCCTGGGCTGCAGGAAAGTGGTAAGTTTTGCGCAGTTAGGCCACGCTGATAAGAGGAGACAGATAAATTCTTGGAAGAAAGGTTCATTAAGGGCTATTCAACAGCAAAATACTGTCTCTGGCTCAGGAAATTCCTTAACTGCAAATGGTCCAAAAGATAGATTATAAAAATACATTATAGAGTATACCTAAAAGATAAATTATATCAGGGAAATATCTCTGTAAGCTTATTTTATTCTTATGTTCCCCCTAGGCATCTGGTTTTGTCCACTGCTGGAGACAGGATGGTGGGGCAGATAGACTCTCAGCCTGACGCAGAGTGGCTGTTCCTTTCTGTTATTATTTTTGGCTGAGGACTGCAGCAAGGGCCTGTGACCTGTTGCTGGTGCTCTGAGCTCTTGCACAAGTTGGAGATATTTACCCTTATAAGAGGAGAGGAAATAGAGGGGTTTGTATGCTCCTGTGTGTGGTGTTTCCTGATGCCAGGGGCATCTTTGTGTATGCTGTTGGGACTCCTGCAGTGGGATCCAGCTCAGAACCAGAAAACATCAGTTCTGAGGTTTCTGTAGTCTGTGCTTTCAGCACAGGAGGTGTAGGTCTGGGGCACAGTCTGGCTGCCCACACGAAGGCATCTCAAGTCATTTGAGAGGTGTCAGGATCTTGCATGCCTTGTCCCACCTGATGGACACTGGTCATTTGTAGGTCTGGTATCATACAAGCCCATAAAAGATGTCTTGGACACTCTGGGGGCTCTTGAATGACCTTGCTTGGGCAAATGGGCCATGCTCTTTTGGGACACAGCATCCCCTTGTTGGTGCTGTGCAGCTCCAGAGGATACGTTTGGATTGTGGTTTCTACTGCAGAACCAGTTCCCTGTCTTCTTCTCATTATGTGCTCCATTCCTGGCTGTGCTTAGGAGGTGAAAAATCATCTCCTGTGGCCTTGAATACTCTCACTTTTGGCTGCTCTCTACAGTGGGGCTGTGTTCAGGAGCTGCCCTTGTAACACTGGAGTACAGACCCCTGCAGGATGCAGCTTTTCCATCCCCGAAGATCTACCCTAACTGTGATCTTCCTCAGCAGCTGCTTTTGCTGTACAATCATCTTTATGAATGTGAAGCTCTTTGCCTTGATACCTTTGTGCTCTTTCCTGCAGAAACTGATTTTTGTTTCTTCCTGACCTGTTACATAAGTGCTGCTTTCCTGCCTGACAGTTAGCGGATGTGTTTTCTCTCTCTTCTCATCATGCTAATCATGTTGTTCATTAGGTTCAGGGTTTTATTCTTTTTTTTCCCAGTACCCCAGGCTTTTCTTTGACTGTTAGAGGACTGTAAAGCCTAGTTAGGTGCTGGGTGGAGTGGGATAACTTAGCTTGGAGGAGTTTGTTGCTACTTTGTTGTGTTGGTTTGCATCCTTTTCCTTTGCATCCCAAAGTTATCTCTGATCCTTGTATGCTCTTGTTAACTCATACGGTCAGGTGCTGTTTTCAGCTGGGAACTGACCCATCTCATATCTGTGAATGCCTCTCATCCCTCCAGCTTCACTGGACCTTATGACAGCTGCAGTGCCATAGGGCCCCCAGTGTGCCCTTGTAATAAACCCATGAGGCTGATGTTCTGTTTAGAAAGGTTTGCCCAGCTCTTGGGTTTATCCCATGGGGATGGGTCAGGAGAACACTTGTGTTAATGGGAATGTGTCAGCCAGGTGGTGATGAGCATTGGGGACCAGGAGAATGTTCTAGGAGAACACAGACTAGGGTGGCACAGGTGCCACTATGGCAGCAGAGAGAGGCAAGGAGGGAAGGCATGGATCAAATTAACATTTCTGTATTGAGCACTAGTATTAGGATCCCAGTAAATAACTGCCTGTTCTTGCCTATTCAACAGTGTTTTGGATGGTGGACCAGGGTCCGATGGAACCAAGGCACATTTATGGGAGTGCCTGTGTGCAAGTCCTTCCTGTGGGACTGCTAAACCCATTGGCAAATTCGAAGTGACTTTAATCATGATTTCAAAGACACAGAGACACATCACACAAGAGGCAGGTGGCAGAGGTGGGACCTGAGTTTGTGCTTTAGTGAGGAAAGACCTGATATCTGAACCTTCTGGCTGGGAAAGAATGTGACTGATTCTTTCCTCTGCAGGACTGGGGAGGAAGGAGGAGGAGAGAGGCAGATTGAGAATGCCTCAGCCTAAGGAAAAGCCTTGATCAGATCTGAGCCTTATTTGGAGATAATCCAGTCAGAAGATGCAGAACTGAGGCAGAAGCAGAAGATGGGGCCTCAGGCTGGGTCTTCTGCAGACCTGCTTGTGCCCATCAGGGCTTTGTTTGCACAGGGCTCTCTGGGCTCCCACCTGCATCCTGTGCTTCCAGGGGATCCTTTACTCTGCTGTTGTACCAGTGAGCTCTGCAGCTGTGCCAGCTGAACCCTCTGAATGATCAGGCCTTTCTTGATTAATACTTATTAGGGTTTTTTAATCTTAAGTAAAGGCAAAGCCTCTAGGGAGCTTCATTTTTTTTCTTAATTCCTGGTTTCAAATCTCCTTTTACTCTCAGTTCTTCTGTAATTGCAAATTGCAGACTAGCAGAGGCTGCAGGGTTTCTTGATGTTTCTCCAAAGACTTAACATTTAGACTTATAATGTATTTTTAAACCAAATCTGTTTATAATAGTTCAGTGTCCATCACTGTGCTGATTGGGAAGTTCACAGCAGTGACCCTGACATGCGTTTGCTCTTCAGTTATCCCAGAGTGGGGTACACACCCACCCTCCTCAGGATAAGAGGATCTCTGTAGGTGTTGCACGACATAAAGGCTGTGTCAGGGGCTCCTTAGAATTTTACATGATCCTTCTGTATGTGGTGAGTGTAGATACTCATTGGCACCTGCAGTTGTCCTGGCTGACAAAGGCTGGTGGTGTGAATGAGCTCGTGTGTGTCTGTAGAGAATTTCTAAGGCTGGAAAAGACCTCTAAGATCATCAAATCCAACACTTAACACTGCTAAGGCCACCACTAAACCACGTCCCCAACTGCCACATCTACATGTCTTTTAAATACCTCCAGGGATGGTGAGTCCACTGCTTCCCTGGGCAGACTGTTCCAATGCCTGACAACCCTTTCAGTGAAACATTGTTCCTAATATCCAATCTAAACCTCTCACGGCATAACTCGAGGCTGTTTCTCCTATTGCTTATTACATGGGAGAAGACTGACACCATGAAGACTTCTAATGGAGAATCCTCCCCATCTATTTTGTGATTTCACATACCCCAAAATGCCTAACAATGAGAGAAGACAGCAGAGTTGGGACCTGCTCAGTACATGATGCCTGGTGTTAAAGGTGTTCTGGGATACAGTAGAACTAAGGATAATAGGAGGAGATTGGTTTAAAACAAGTAAAAGAAAGTATTTCTTGAAACAGCAAGAGTGAGCTTCAGGAATTAATTGCTAGAGCAGATGGTGGAGGTTCAGAAAGGGGTGAGAGAAATTTTCTGTACAAATAAAAACAGACGGGGTTTCCCTCTAATATCCCTAATCTGGGAAATAGCTATTCCTGTTTGAATGAACTCCAGCAGTGTAAAACCACCTCACAGGAGCCTCTTGCCTTGGTTGTGTGTTTTTGCAGAGGAGGACTGTAAGAAGTACTTGCAGAGGAAGCAGGAAGAGGCCAACCTGCCACTTCAAGTGCCAGCAGTAGACAGCAGTGTGCCGAAGACGTCGGAAATGATGGGCATCACCACCAGGGATGATCCATATGGTAAGTGCCTGTGGTTACACTGCTGCCTGATATCTCCTGTTGGAATTGCCTTCAGCTGTAGCAGATGCCCATGGGAAGTGCAGAAAACCTGTTTGCTTTCATTATTCCCATGACTTTTCATAACCCAGGCCAGAATGCTTTGGCTGGTAGTTACTGAGCATTTTTATTTTTCCTGTTTCCTAGATCAGAGAGGAAAAGCAACCCTGGGGGATGCTGTACCCAGGAACAGGCTGGCACAGAGGCACTGGATACACATAAGAGACTTGCCAGAAATCTGTCCCTTAGCTCAGCCTGATGCATAGCAGCAGCTGAAAGCACAAGGGGTTGGAGTGCAGGGGGAAGGATGTCAGAAGTGATTGCCCTGCCCTGTGTTTGGCAGATGGAACCACCTTGAACGAAGAGGAAGTGGGATTTGAAGTACAGCTGGGTGTGAAGCAGGTGGAGAGTGGAAACATGGTTCTGTGTGTGTGTTGCTGGGCTGTGTGTGCAGCCATGTGCACGTGGCACTGCGTGCCAGGCTGCATGTGCAGCCACGTGTGTGCATGCTGGCCAGCCTGGCTCCGGGTGGTCACCTTTGCTGTACATGAGGACATCACTAACCCTCCCCAGATGTCCACAGACCAATATGCTGGTGTTTCACACAGCAGCTTTGCCTGATGTGACCCCCAAGTTAGCGCTGTGGCCCTCCAGCAGTGCCCTCAGTTCGACTGACCTAGCAGACATTACCCTTCTGCTTCACTGGATGCTTCTTGGGCTGGATCTGCCTGTCGGGTTGATACTTTCCTCAGCAGCTTTTAGAGTCTCTGACCTATTTTTTCACTGTGGTAGGCTTTAACTGGCATAAAAAATTGAAAATATCTGTAGTGACATTGATACAGGAAAAAATAACATAGTGGGAAACTAGCCAGCAGTATGAAGGCACTTAATTGTGAGAGACATTGCCCCTAAAATGGAGCACTTTAGTATTTGGATAACTGCTAAAGAAACAAGAGCTGCCAGCCATTAATGTCTTTGGAAAACAGGGCCATTTACTTAGGATGTGACTTCAGGTGCCCAGGTTTGACATCTTAGCCATAAAAATGGCACGTTCCAAATTTCAAGGCCTGACCATAGGTCCATGGACAGCAGATGGCAGGACATCGCTGGTGAAGGAAGATTTTGGTTGGGAAGTTTGAATCTCTGTGACCTGAACTAGAGAACGAGGACCCAGAGCCATGAGGATACTTTAGTTGTGCAACTCCCAGTGAAATCCCAGGGTGTTGGAGCTCCGAGTTGCATCCTCTGGGGTACTTTGCTCTCTCCAGCTCTTCCTAGACTCTGTCTCTGCTCAACTGCCTGTGGCTGGATGTTATTGCCTCTGCAGATTTTTCCTGTCTGCATCTCAGCTCCCCTTCCCTAGCCATTGCCAGCCAAGAGGTGTGTGTGAATACTCTGGCTGGTGAAAGCAGTTGAGACAGATGTGTGTTACCTCCTGCCAGCCCTGTTAGGGACAGGAGTCTGGGCTGAGGGGCATCTGGTCTAATAAAATGTTAAACTACCTTTGGAAGTTTGGCCAGAGCTTGTCTGTTAGAGCTTCTGATTCTGAGTCAGAGTCTGTGGGAGCTCACGAAAGTGAATGGAAGGGAACTTCATTTATAGCAGAAAATGACAGCTGCATTTTTAATGGTTTCAGGGAGCGGAACAGAGATATTTGATGCCTTCATCTGCTACTGTCAGAAAGACCTTCAGTTTGTCCAGGAGATGATCAGGGAACTGGAGCAAACAGAGTTCAAACTGAAGCTCTGTGTATTTGATCGGGATGTCTTGCCAGGAACCTGTGTGTGGTCCATCAGCGGAGAACTTATAGAGAGGAGGTAAGTGAACTGTGGCTGTTGGGGCCAGCTGAGTGTGATGGAACATTATATTAATTTCAATGTGATGTCTGCAGTTCGGTGTCAGTGAGACAGCAAAAATCCAGGAAATGTCTTTAAGGGGTTTTATGCTTTTGACTCAAGGATGACTTGAGCATTGCCCAACATGTAGCTTTGCTGTGTTCACAAGGGAGATGCCACTTGTAGTGATGCTGCTTGTGAATGCTTCTCCTGGCCTTGCTTGTTATGTATAGACAGAGGGTCACATTCAGGTTGCACAGATAATCTGGACTTCACTGTTTCCTCATGTTTTAGTATATGAGTGTGTATCTGTAATTTGGTCTTGTGAATAACATTGCTATCTCTATGCCAGCAGTCCTTGCCCTGTAGCTAATTCTTGCTGGAACATAGCTGCCAGGTCCTTCTCCACCAGAGCAGTTCAGAGGAGTATGTGCTTCTGTCTGTGAGAATGAGAACCATCTCCTTTGACATTTTCTAGTTTTCTCCCCTGTGTGTTCATCTTCAGGTGTCGGAGGATGGTGGTTGTCATTTCAGATGATTACCTGGAAAGTGATGAATGTGATTTCCAGACCAAATTTGCTCTTAGTCTTTCCCCAGGTAAGATCTCACAAATAACCCATTTATGATTGCAAATAATAATTTTTATTACAATGACATCTGAAGTTCCAGCTGAGGTCAATGGGCACTATGCCACTGGAAGTAACAGTGGTTGTAGGAATCTGGGCTCAGTCCTTTGTCCTGCTGTTGACCTTCCACGTGACCTTGAGTGAGAAGCTGCTGTGCTGCACTGCTCCAGCTGTCAGTGGGATAATGCTGCCTGCTCCAGAGATGTCAGAGCTACATGTCAGGCCTGTGAAGGGCTTCCAGATACATACAGGAAGTGTTATAATAAATTCAGGGTGTGAGTAAACGCTGGGAATAGGGTGGCAGGTAATGAACATGCAGATTTCAAAGCCAGGCTGGATGGGGTTCTGAGCAACCTGATCTAGTGGAAGAACTAGGTGATCTTTAAGGTCCTTTCCAACTCAAACCATTCCATGAGTCTATGACTTTTTGTAGAGATCCTTGAATACTGTGGATAGATAAGATATGGAATGAATGTTCAGCTTAGGATGGAAAGTTTTTTACATATTTTGTTCTAATTGAAAAGCCACCAATTTCCTTCTGCCCAGTCATCCATATTGCTCTTCTCTAACCATTTTTTTTCCTAGATGAGACATCTGACATGGTATTATAAATTATAATGTCATGCCAGAGGTTAGACTGGTAGGTGGTGGCAGAGAGCTAGGAATTAGCTGCGTCTGCCTTGACACACTAATTTCATATGATGGCAGTTAATCCACTAAACACGCAGCATATTGCATCAGCCCCCAGTCATCATGATTTGTACAAAAGTCCTTTTAGTTCTTCACCAGTTTCCTGTGGGCATCACACCTTCCATTAGAACAGGAAAAGAAGTTCAATATGTAGGTAATGACCTGAGCTCTGCCAATAAGAAATGTGTCTAAGTACAGGTTTAGAGAAGTCAGTCATAAAGTTACTGTCTGTGTGGGGTAACTAACCTGGAAGGGCTTGGTGACAGGTTCTGGGATCTCCATGGATTACTCTAGCATCTGCTGCAGTTACGAAATGTTGGTTATTTGCCTCATCTGGGTCTCAGAGTCATCACTTGCGCAGTACAGGTGGTGGCAGGTGCCCCTGTGGAGAGCTACAAGGGGAGAAGTTCCTCTCCAGAAGAGCTGCTCCTTCAAGAAGCAGCAGTTACAGGGAGACTGTTCTCATCTCATGGTGCCTCAAAACAGCAGTTCATGTTAGTGAGGGGATTCCTCACAGCCCCTTGCTGGGGAACTTCTGTAGCCTGAGTAAATCAGGATTCAGAAACTTGCTCTCTGAGGTGAGACCTGATTGCATTGTAATGAGATGATGCACAATCCGGAGCAACCCTGGATCTTGTGACGTGTGTGCTGTGGTGGGGAGGAAATGGATGTGGGATCTGACTGTGGCTCTGTGTAACCCTCTGCTTGTGTGACCTGTCTTTCAGGTGCCCGTCTGAAACGGCTGATTCCTGTCAAGTGCAAATCCATGAAGAATGAGTTCCCAAGTATCTTACGGTTCATTACGATTTGTGACTACACCAATCCTTGCACCAAAAAATGGTTCTGGACCAGACTGGCAAAGTCCCTCATGCTGCCATGATGCAAAGTCACAGGTGCTAGATGCTCTTGTGATGTGTCCTGGCTGTGCCTTCAGACTGGGGTGTCCTTCACACAGGGTCTTCCACCACTTCAGAACCTGCATCCTTGTGATCTGTGTTTGGAGCCTGCAATCAGGAGCAAAGAACTTTCTCTAGCACTTCTTCATAACTCAGAGGGGAAATAAAGCAACTGTGGGGGTGTTCTGGCCTAAGTAAGTGAGCAGCAGCAGCATCCAGCATTTTGTGGAGTGAGCACTTTCATTGAAAA